TCTGAATACTGTCTATCGGTGTTGACGATCAAATTGACCAAAACAAAGTTTAAAAATGATGTTAAAACACAAAAGTAAATTGATTTGGTTGTCTACAAAGATGCTACGGCTATTTAACTTTTCGAATCGAGCCGAACTACGCGGGTCGCCATTTTGTTTTTTGTTCTCTCTCTTTCTCTCTCTCTCACTCTCTCTCTCCACTGCCCACAGACAAAATTGTACGCTTTTAGTAGGCTACAAGTACAGTTGTAATGGAACGTTTGTTTATGGCACAGAATTCTACAATTTTTCTGTTATCACAGTGTAGAATTCTGTGGTTTAGGGTGAATGCAAAATTTGTTGGCCTAGATCTAGGCTATAACGGTGAACGCGCACCAGGTGAGAATAGCCAAAAGACTCGCCTGCACTATTCTCATCCCGGGTGAGAATAGAGGTGGCCATTGCAAAAGTAGAGATTGTTTTGTTCATTTTGAGGTGATGTGTCTTTTAACGCACGTCGAATTTTACGGACAGAACTGTTTCTCCGTGAAATGTTGAAGAAGTCGAACAAGTTCAACTCAAGAACATTTTAAATAAGATAAAAACAACGATATGTACGGAAAAAGCATTTTGAACAAAAAAAGTGGCCTTCTACTTATTACAGACTCCCTTGTATGAGGAAGAAGAAGGGGAGGGGGGGGGGGGATAAAGAAAGATGAATCGTTTCCTGCATGCGGTATAATAATCATGGCGTCTACAAGAAACATTTTCCAAGAAAGTGATTATCATAATGGTGGCAACAGTACTAGTTTAAAAGTTTTATTATAAAGCTATAATATAATAATCCAGATTTTCTCAGCTATAGTTGTAAGCAAAATTAATACAGATGGTATTAACCCTGCCAGTCATTAGATCTAATTGTATCTGCAGTCAACCCCCTCACCACCCCTACCCCTTCCCACCTCACCACCTATTCCTTCACTTCAGACCTTTTGAACCATTACGGTATGTTTGGAAGTTTGTGTTGTTAGGTACTCTCCACCCACCGCTATCCCTAAGGGGATCAGTTCCGAGAGAAGCTTTGAGAAAGAGTATTTAAATAACGTTAACTAATATATTAATTATCATATCATTACTGGTTTCCAAAGTAGTCAACCCCCTGGGGCAGTGCCACTGACTGTAGTGTCTTTAGGCCATTCCCAAAGAGGGGGCATTTCTCGTTCAAGCGCAGTTAAATTGTAAATGGGCTGATTCATCATGTCACGCTCATAACTGTGCCTGGTCTACAACAGGGAACTGCCGCTTTTTTTTCTTAATCCTTATTATTGTCAAGTTCCTCTACTTCTATTGTATGTTTGTCACACTCTTGTGACCTGCTATATCCAGGGCGCCTTGATAGTCGAAGCAAACCTTATGCTGTTGAAGCTAGAGAGGTGAGCAGAGTAAGTCTGATTCCCTGTAAAGACTTCTCTGTTGACACCCACCCCTTGGCGCTCATATGACCTTATGCAGTTGTGAGCGCCGTAAAACCCTCTATTAAAAAATATTTAAAAAAAGAAGTAGCCCAACGGATTGTCCATACCCAGTGATGAATAGAAAATAGACTTGCTAAAACAAACTATTCAGAAACTTTGTTACCTGCTGAATTAATAGTTATGCCTAGCGATGCACTGGCCAAATAAATGAATGAGACCTTGTCCACAATCAGACAATTTCCACTTGTAGCACGGCCCCAAGTATGCAAATAAGGCAATATTTGCCCTTCGTTTCTCTTCACCGCCAGGTGACGTGATACTTCAGCTCGGTTCTGTCTTGTCTTAAATGAACGTTAAATAGAAGATCCTGACCCTTTAGCAATAGTGCACTTTTTAAAGAGGTTTTTGCACTCATACCTTACCACACTATAATAATACTGCTTGATACCATACCATATCATACCATACCATATCATACCATGAGAAGAAGTAAGTTGTTAAAGGGGGGGGGGGGGGTACACCTGAAGGCTATCTCGCTTATTACTAGACTGAATTTTACCAAATTTCACACATATAACAAGCATAGAAGGGAGTCTTAAAAACCGCAATCAAATTTGAGAAGAAAAAAATTCATTTCCTTGGATACGGCGGCCATATTTCATTTTGTTGACATGTCTTACTTAATGAATACCACACTTACTGTTCATGGAAATTGATCGGGTTTTTTTTATTTGCGTGTTAACAAACAATATGTCTAAACATTTGTCTGTTGTTTTTTTCCTTTCTTATTTTAACATTTTTAATGAATTTTTTTCTGAGCTAGCATTCAAGTTTGCAAAAAATCCGTGGAAATTCACACTCAAGATACCATCAGCAAAAAACTATTCCAAAAAAAAAAAATTCAACAGACAAATTTTTAGTATAACATCTTCTCTTCATTCTGTGAAAATTTCATGAAGATTGGATAAAAAATGGTGGAGTTATTCAAAAAGGTGTAGAGAAAAGTTGCGTTTTCTGAAAACGGCCGGTAAAGAAAGATAAAATATTTACTTTATGAGGAAACGGTGGTGATACTTCGGCCGGGTATGGGGGAAAATACGGTTTTTGGGATTCTTATGCAATGAAATAGTTGTAGGAGAGGCTGAGGGAGCTAAAAAAGCCCTACCTCTCAAATATCATAATTTTTGAGTCGAATC